GATACAGGAGCCTGCCAGCTGTGTGGTAATAAATAAAAACTACAAACCTAATGTTCTTCAGGAGGTGTGCCTTTTACTTGTGCTGGTTATCATGATCTTTTATGTGCATTGGTGTTTTGCCTGCAGGTATGTCCATATGAAGGAGCCAAATCCCCTAGAATGGAATTATTGACAGTTGTGAGCTGTCATGTGAATGCTGGGAATTGAACTTGGGCCCTCTGGAAGGGCAGCCAGTGTTTTTAACCTCTAAACTATCTCTCCATTCCCGAGATAAATATTTATAGTACTTCACAGAACATTTTTCTCCCTCATGTATACTCTTAGAACGTAGAGTCAGTTTAAAAGCATGAGTCATCACTTTTGAGAGGGAGATCTAGGATTGAGCTTAAATAAGTAACTTGATTAGAAATAATAAATGTGAGATTAAGTATATAAATATTTGAAAATGCAGAATTATGTGAAGTCACTAAGTATTGGAATTGAGCTGTGAAGAAATTCCTATACTTAAAGTGTGGCGAGGAAAAGGAAGAAACTGAAAAAGCTAATATGAAACAGTCTGAGCTGTGAAGGAAGTATAGCTGGTGACGTGCTGCAGAAGGCTTCATGAAAGATTTGTCAACTGAATCGAAATGGATTGCTGATGCAAAAGTTAACTAAATGAGGATTTCATAGAGTAGTTGTAGTGGCCTGAAGATTGAGGAGATTCATATATGTGGTAAAGAGATGACCTAGGACAGCTGGAAACAGATGCCATGCCCAAATTAGGTAATATGAGGAGGAATTATTTACAAAGAGATAGGAGGGGCCCCAACCTTGATTCTTTACAGTGAAGCTATTATCACCCTGACCCAAATGGATTAGGAGTTACCTGAACCACGCAGAAGAGGCCTACTCTAAGAAAAGCAGTAGAGGGCATAGACAAAGGAAGCCCAGCTTGAACATAATTCTGTTGTCCTGCTGGGGGCAGCAGCTCTGTATGGGTAAAACTATGTGTAAGCCTAAGGATAAGGCTTTTTTGTTGATGGAAATGATAGGAAGTTGATTTAATTTTGGCTGTTTTGTGAGCCTGCTAAGTGGTGGTTGTGCTGCTGCTGCTGCTTCTCATTGTATATAAGATCTTGCTGATCAGTCTAGGCTCCCAGTGCTGGGATTATAGATATGCCACTATGCCCAGTTTTTTGTTTTGTTTTGTTTGTTTTTGTTTTTTATTTTTGGTTTTTTGAGACAGGGTCTCTCTGCCCCTTTGGAGCCAGTCCTGGAACTAGCTCTTGTAGACCAGGCTGGTCTCGAACTCACAGAGATCCACCTGCCTCTGCCTCCCGAGTGCTGGAATTAAAGGTGTACGCCACCACCGCCCAGCTGAAATGGTTTTTAGTTTACCGTTTTGTTGTTATTTTTTTCTTCTTTTGATGCTAAGTATTGAACCTAGAGCCTTGTAAGTAAGCACTATACATTGAACTATACCCCCATCCTCATTATTTATTATATTATCTTTAAAATAACTTGTAATCTTGTTTTTATTAGAATATTTTATATAGAGGTTAAAAGAATATTCTTGACCTTTCAAGTCTTGATGTAAAGTTGATTCACTGAGGAAGCTTTTCTTTTTTTTATTTATTTTTAATTTTATTTTAAAAAATTAATGTATATATGAATGCTCTATCTACATGTATGACTTTATTCCAAAAGAGGGCATTAGATCCCATTATATAGATGGTTGTGAGCTACCTTGTGGTTGCTGGGAATTGAACCTAGGACGAATGGAAGAGTAGCCAGAGTTCTTACCCCTTCCTCTTTTTTTTTTTGACAGTCTAATTCAGACTGGTCTCAAATTCTTTCTGTAACAGAAGATGATCTTGAATTTCTGATGCTTCTCTCTTTCCCCTCCAAGTGCTAGAATTACACTATGCACCACTCTGAGTTTATTCAGTGTTTGAAACTGAACCCAGGGCAGGGCCTAGTACAGTACATGCCACACAATCTGTCTGACAACCTAGCTTTCTTTACAGCTCCTTGTTTATTAGTAGTTAGTCTGTGTTTTTTTTTAGTGATTAATATACACATGCTCTCTTGACAGTGAAAAGTTGCCCTTCTTTCACTGAGTCAGATTCCATGAATACTCTATTTCTCTTTTGGGTGCTAGAACCTAATTCCATCATTGCATTCTATCATTGATCTATCCCCCAACTTGCCTTTCCCCTAATCAATTTATGTACTGTATGTGACCCTAAAAATTCACACACTTGGAGTGTAGTAGCATGATTATAATCCCAGTATTTAGGACAGTATGGCAGGGTAATCTCTAATTTGAAAGTAGCCCAGGTTACCTAGTTCCAGACCAGCCTTGGTTACACAGGTCTTGTTTCAGCATGTACATAACAGAGTGAGATATAGAATATTGGGGTGTGTGTGTATATATGGCATATTATGTCTTCAGTACATTTAAGTGGTGACTTTTAAGATGTTTATCGATCAGTATTTGTAGATATACCTTGTTTTGTAAGCAGCCTCACACTTTCCCATTGTGTATGTGTAGTTCAGCTGCCTTTTCTGTTTTTGCTCTTTTGTTGCAAGTAAATGTTAAATTGAACGTGGTTCTCTGTAAAGATATTGAGTATCGTGTTACCTGTATTAGTATAGTGGTGGGAGTTATTTCTAAAAGTGGTTTTGAAAGGGCATATACATATTTTTTATGTCTGTCTGTCTGTCTATCTATCTATCTATCTATCTATCTATCTATCTATCTATCTATCT